ACGTCTGACAAAAAAGCAGCACTGACAAATAAGCAGTCATGATGGCTACCATTATCTCTTGGAACTGTCGTGGTTTAAACAAAAATCTTGTTCATATAAAAGAACTAATTAGCGCACGTCATTCTATCTGCTTTGCTGCTCAAGAAACTGTAGTGAAAACTGAACAAAAGTTGAAGCTTTGGAGATGTTGTTTTGTCAGAAAAGATCAGCCAGTTAATGAACATGTTAGCGGAGGTGTAGGTCTGCTCACCTCGCTTGAATATCATTCAAGCACTCTCCCTCTTTCAACTTTCCTCCAGCTGGTCAGGTTAGTACACGGAGATTAATTTCAGTTTGTTCGATATACCTGCCTTCCACCAAACGCATTGAGCAGCAGGATTGATAATGGAGAGCACACTTACTTCCACCAGCCTACGAGGACCTTTCACAGCATTGACCTCACTATCTGTTCATCATCTCTGCATCCATTTTGCAAGTTTAATGTTGGAACTGATTTACATGACAGTGACCATTTTCCTATTTTTATAACTTTTGCATATAAAGAGGTAATCCCTATTTCTAGACCTGCATGCTTCATTCTGGAGAACGCCGATTGGCATCCTTTTTCCTTTTATGCAGAGCTTACAGAAGAAATGCTGAGCGACATGCACTGCACACACACACACAAAAAAAAAAGGGGGGGCACAACGAAATTCAAATTGCGTCTTTCATGTCTTGAAAGCGTGACTTAGGATATATACTAGATTTCTATATACAGTACAAAAGTCCATAATCCGGACTCGGCAATTCCAGATTAGGGGTTTTTCCGGATTATAGATAATCGATTTAAATCTGGTAAGATGGCATGCAGAAATATTATTATTATAATTAATTAAAAATATATGAAACCATAATTTATGAAATAAGAGCAATTATGATCTAAAGGGTATCGAAATTTACAAAAAAAAAGCTTAATATTTATTTGTTACTTTATTAAACATTTCTTTTAATGTAAGTTGCTTAAGTTGCTTTGTTTTTTGTGCTAATACTTTCTCTTGAATTCTATAAACAGACATAATTTCTTGTTCAGTTACAAAGTTCCACTGTTCAAGTCCTGTAATTGCTGTGTTGAAAATACCGACTAACTTGTCAATCGAAATTTTTTCCTTTTCTGCCGCTTTCTTCACTATCGGGAACGGTATTTTCTGGATCTAGAACCATACTACAGATTTCGCCGTCCGTTAGTTGATTGATGATTGGGGCATTGTCGTCGCAATGAAAAACTTCTGTTGTATCATCTTCATTTATTACTGCTTCTTCGCATTTCTTTACAAAATCCAATAACTGGAAAATTTCACCTTTAGTTTGCGATGTACGAAAACTTTCAAATTCGAGGCTATAATCTTCATTGTCCTCACCATGAAATATGGTAGCTAGCTATAAATTATGCCAAACATTTTTTAACGTATCTGGAGACACATCCTGCCACGATCTTGCGATGCTCCACGCAGCAGATTTTATCCTAAAAAATTTCAAAAAGTCTTGAATAGTCTTACCATTGTTCAAGAAATTTAACGTAGCTGCGCAACATAGACGTTTATGCATCATGCGCCTGCGTAAAGTATACAAAAAAAAAAGTTTCTGGCTTTGAGTTTGGATTATAGATCATTCTGGATAATGGATGTCCGGATTACAGGCTTTGTTCTGTAGCATGGTTCTAATATAGGTATTTTGACACAAAATCGGACTTTCTCTGAATTAACATGGCAAGTTTTTTTTTTTTTTTTTTTTTCCATATTTCGATTCTACAACTCAAATTATGCTTAAATACTAAATTTTGTAAAATTTGGTGCAAAATTTTTGGAGAAATTAAAAAATTTAACTTTGCATATTTTTTTTTTAGTTTGTACTAAAAATAATTCACTTGCCAAACTTCTTGTTATCCTTTCCCTTTTTTCATTGCAGGTGAGCGGGAAAAAAATCATCATTCGTACTTTCAAATAATTTTAACAAATTGTGTAAACCACATTTGGCATTATTATTGCTTATAACAAATATGCCAAATTTCAAAAAATACATGTATATTGTAGGAAAATTTTGAATAAAAAAACTCTAATTTTTTGCAGGTGTGCCTAGAAATACATCTACTTTAAGATGGTGTTAAAAATTTTATAGGTTTTAATTCAAAGTATTTTTCAAAAAATTTATAAAAATTATTTAAAAATACAAATTTTAAAAAGTAAATCGTAAAAAAATGGGTGAATTGATTTTTTTGGAATGGAACATGAACATAATAAATTTCGAAATGTGAAAGGAAGAATCAAATAAGTTTAATAAAAAAAAAAAAAAAAAAAAGAGATTAACAAATATATACCAAATTAAAGTGGAGAAGCTAAAATTTTGAGAGCTAATTTCTTAAAAACTACTAAAGCGATTTTTACAAAACTTGGCAGTTTGGCATAAATTGAGTCGTAGAATAAAAATATAGAGAAAAAAAAAATAAATAAATAAACTGGCATGTCATTTCAGAAAAGTCCCATTTTGTGTCTTCTAATGCCTGTATTAGAACAATGCTGTTTATAAATATAATGCAAATTGTAAGTCGCACTTTCGAGACATGAAAAACGCGAGTTGAATTTGTCAATCGGCCCAGTAGAACGGGAGATATAGAACTGCGCCCCTTTTTCTTTTGTACAGTGTACCTTTATATAATGCGATGGAATCTGTTACCAAGGTCATTATTCAGGCAACAAGCTGCTCTATTCCTCTCTCCTCAACGAGATTACAAAAATACCCAAAACCATGATGGAACCAACAGTGCCAAGAGACTCTAAGAAAGACTTGGGGAAAGTTTCGCCAGTATCCTGCTTTGTCAAATCTAACAGCCCCCCCCTCCAAAAATCGAACCAAAACAAATGCACGAAGAGTTAGAAGACAGAGCCAGAAGAATGCTTGGATATCCTATGTGTCAACAATCACATCCTCTACATCGAGTGTGGGAAAGAGTAAGGAAAGCAACTGGAATGTACAGTAACCACTTGTTTCCATTTTGGATGGCAGAGTGACAAGCAACACAGAAGATGCAAATGCAGTTGGTGAAAGTTTTGCTGCAGTATCTGGTAGCAGGAGTTATCCACAAGCCCTTCTTTCTGTCAAGCTACGCATGGAGAAACTTTGAATTGTGTTCTACTCTTCAACTCTGGATCATATAATGTAGATTTTACCATGTTTGAGCTAAGAAGAGCTCTCATGAAGACACATCTAGTCCAGGTCCTGACGCAATTACATATGACATGATAAATCATCTTTCTTATAATTCATTGAATGTGCTTTTTTAGTCTGTTTAATAGAGTGTGGAAAGAAAACATCATCCCCAGTACATGGAAGAAAGCTATCATTATATCTATTGTTAAGCCAGGTAAGAACCCAAGAAATCCCTCAAACTACTGGCCAATCGCACTTACAAGTTGCATTTGCAAATTACTTGAGAAAATGGTAAATCACCACCTTGTCTACTATCTGGAGAAAAACAGTATAATCTCTTCCTATCAGACTAGTTTCCGAAAGGGCAGGTCAACAGAAAGCAATATGCCTCATTTAGAAACATCTATTCCTCAAGCCTTTGTAAAAAGAAACCACTTGGTTTCAATATTTTTTTATACGGAGAAGGCATATGACAAGACCTTAGAGATATGGTATTCTCCAGGGTTTCTGTGATTGTGGCTTGCATGGTAACATGCCAATTTTCATCTATAATTTTTTAAGCTAGGACTTTCCAAGGGAGACTTGGTTCTGTATTATCCTAGGTCTTTTATCAGGAAGAGCGTGTGCCTCAAGGTAGTGTTTTAAGTGTAACATTGATTAGCTTAAAAATAAATTATGTTTTGAAAGAACTTAATCTTTCTATTTCTGGTACATTGCACAAATAAAAAATGTTAATTTAAATAAATATGTTGTCAAGGAGAGGACATGGGGTATATAGAGAGACAATTGCAGATTACTATTAACAGAATCATGAGCTGGTTGAATTAGCATGGATTCACCTTTTCAAACCAGAAGACCATATGCATATATTTCGGCAGAAAGTGAAATTTGCATCCTGAGCCTGAACTGAATATTCATGGGTCATTGATTCCTGTTCATTCAGAAGTGAAATTTCTAGGAATGATTTTCGATCATAAATTGCATTGGTAGAAAATCAAAATATCATAAGGGCTTGCTTTTCTCCAGTCAGACTATTATAACTATAAGGATGTAATAGAAAAGTAACACTAAAATAATTTGATGAATTAATTTTTATTTTTGCATTAATTTTTAACTCTCTAGAGCTACACTCCTAATGTACATTTTAAGATGAAATGGATGAAGTTAGACATGATTTTGACACATGGGAGCAGAAAATTCATTTATTTCTAGCTTGTTTTGAAAAATAGTTTTATGAGTGATTGTTAAAGATTAAAAGTAAAACATTTCTTCAGTTGAGAGGGATTGCACATCAGCTACTTACAATTTACTGCTCTGATTTTCAGACTTTCTTAAGTGTTATTTCCAGCCATTTTTGTTAATACCTGAAGTTACTAAGACTATAAGGGAACAGGCACTTAAAAAACACTTTCTCACTTGCTTTTCATAATAAATTAACGTTTCTGTGTAACATGTTTCAAGCCAGCAAATCTTTGTTCTTGCATCTAATCCATACTTAACTTTTCTTCACTGTTAAAATGTGAACATTAAAATGATTAAAATTTAAAGTATACATGATTAGACCTCTTCATTTCTGACCTGAATTATTTTACACTCTATGCTTCTGCATCTTTAGTGACCTTCAGCAATATTTTTAAATTGTATTGCCATACAAGTTTGCAGAATTATATATAGTATGCACTATTTTTCTTCTTTTAATGTGAATTTTCGATTAGTATTAAATTTTTTGTATGGCTGTATGTATTTTCCGTCTACTTCAAATATAATTATTTATAATAAGTAATATAAAAGCAATTCCAATTATTTTTTTATTCTAGGAAGCAAACAGACAGCAGAGAGATTTAACTAATTGTCTGGAGAAAATGCGTGATGAGGTAATGGATTTATCTAATGTCAAGCATGAACAGTTACAAGTTATTCAGTCTCTGAAGCAAGAGAATGAAGCTCTAGCTGCACAGATAACAAAAAATATGGAAAAAATTGCTGGAGAGGGTTCTGAAGAAAAGCAGCAAAATGGCGAGGTATTGGAAAAGGTATGTATTACATTTTCATTCATTTCTTTTATGTAATTAAAATAAAATTTCATTCTTAATAGTTTGAATTTATTTAGAAATATAGCTATTGTGTCTCTTTATTTAAAAAAATCCTTTCAAACTTTTTTTTTTTTTTCAGTCAAGTTACATAGAAATAGAGGAACATGAAGCAATGTAAGTTTTCTTCTTAAGACATTGTTTAATAAAACTGAAACATAGACCTCAAATTAAGGTTTTCTGCTAAAAAATAATTAAAAATAAGTGATATTCTCAGATATCGCATTAATCTTACGTAATTTTAAATTTTTAGGTGTGTATGGTTATTCATATTTTACATATTTTACAACAATTTTACAACATATTTAATCTTAAATGAGTTAAGTAGGGTAAACTAGATAAATTGGGGGATCACTTTCAATAACGATGTATCGTTCAAAATGTTTTAAATTTGTTAGTCCAAAGGGGCTTTGTCCCTGAAGGGCTATTGTTTTTGTTTTGTGATTTTGCGTTGAATCACTATAAATGTCTGTTTCACTTTTCAAACTGTTGCTACCAAATTTTAGAGTCCTGCATTATATTTGAAGAAATTAAATAAAAATGTGCATAAATGTATGTATATTTCTCGCATTGTGATAAAACAACGGTACATAGAGCCATCAAATTTTGAATGATGTAATCCTACTGCGAATATGGGCATGTGGAAGCCCAAATTTGGAATTTATATTATTATTAATTTCATATTTTGTAAAACTAACGAATTTTTTAATATTGTTTTAAATACAGTCAACCGTTTTATTTTATTAATTCCTTAAAATTACTTTATAGTGTTCAAGAAAAAGAAAATATGCTTCATCGCCTTTTTCAAGAATTAGATCAGTGTAAGTGCGAAATTATGTCATTGTCAAATGATCTTGAAAGAGAAAGGAAACAAAATGAAGTAAGTGCAAGTTCTTCTCTTTACTGAAGTAAAATATTCAATCAAAAGAAACTATCATGAGTTAATGTGTTGAAATTTAATACAAAAAGTTCATTTTTCTATTTATAAAAATATTCAAACTTATACATAGTAATTTATTATGGAGGAGTTAAAGCAACAGAATCAGTGTAATATTCATAAGTCTGCAGAACTAATTTCGAAGATTCTATATTTAACCCGTAACAGGGAAGGTCAAATATTGGGACATAAACGGGGACGTGCGGTCACAGAGACCGCGTCTCATTATGGTTTAAATAAAATGTTCTAATCAAAATATTAAAATTTTATTTTACCCATACATTCTATAAACACTTATCTTCGAACAGAAAAAAAAAAAAAAAAAATTACAAAGAAATCAATCAACACTAGGAATATCTTTTCTGCAACATGAACTTTTTTTATGAAAAACCACTTGCAAATGTAAATTATGCAAACCAAACCAGAATAACAATTATTTTTATGAATAATAATTATTTTCCATTAATTTAACATGTGATGGATACATTCAAATAAAAAATACAAATATTGTATGAAACATAAAAAAAATGAGTTTCTTACTATCAGTAATACCATTGTGTTCTTGCAAAAGATATCAACTTACTGAGCATATTCTTGTGGACATTCGTGACATAATTTTTGTTACCTACCAAACTGGCATTTTACAACTTGCACATAAATACAAAGTTTTCAGTTCTTCCTTTTTCTCTAATATTTCGTTTGTGAAAAGGATTTCCCAAACGCTTTTAGGATCCGTAGTTTCACCCAATTTTCCATATGCTCTTAATCCTGGAAGATGAACTATATTATGCGCGGGAATTTTCACATTTCCTTGAGGTTCAATAGATGACCACTTGAAGTGGTTTCTCCCATAATAATATTTTATAGATGAAATGGGTTCAGTCTCTGGTTCAGTGCATTCGTTGTCAGATTCAGAAAATTCTGATGTCGTGGAATGCGAACTTTCAGTTGCAAAATCTTCTTGGCATTCATCTTCATTGCTAAATTCACTTTCCACTTCATCAAGAATTCTTTACAACACTTCTGCAAAACGTGAATTAGAAGGGTATATGATATTTCTGGGACCGAGTTTTAGAGCCATGTTTCCACCTGGGACAGAAATCGTAACACTGAGAGGGAGGTGCCTTCTGACTAGACAATGGAGAAGAATTTCACAATGAAGCAGGTGCAAAAAATGTGAGCCAATATATGAGAATTATCAAGGTCACAAAAGGAGAAGCTAGCTGGAGAATCCACTCAATCAGACTAAATATAGAATAGGGGTGACAGGAACAACACCTGTAGGAGTCTCTGAGACCACACCTTCCCAGTTACGGGTTAAACCTCTGAAACTAGTCCTGCAAATTTATGAATATTATGCTCATTCACTCCTTCAATATATGTTTCGCTGCATATTATTTTAGCTCCAATTTAGTAATTTACTTACATTAATTAAATTATGAATAAATATACAGTAGTCAGAACTTAAAATTTGTAATTATTATATTATGAATAAAGATTGGATAGTTCAAGATCTGTGAAACCTGTTGAAACTAAATTAAGGTAGGTCAATTTATCTGCTGATGCATTTGTTTTAAACTTTATCTCAAGTATTGCTTATTCTTATTAAACATATGGGAGACCGTCATATAATGAACTTGCATGTTAATCTAACTTGAAATATAAAAAAATGAAAGTATTGAAGATTTTCATTTAATTTTTATGTTTTAGGAACTTATTACTAAAAACAGTGAATTAGTAGAAGCCTTAGATGTTACAGAAAAGAAATTACAGGATGTTATTAAAACTGCTGAACGGAAAGTTCAAGAAGCTCAGATGAAAGCAGATAACTGTTCAAATGAAATTCAGGATATTTTAAATGAGAGAATAAAGGAAGTCGAGCATGCTTTGAGAGAAAGCTACACTAAGGAATTGGAGAGTGTTAGAGAAGAAGCTGAAAAAGTTAAAAAAGAATCTGATGAAAGGATATTGATAGCTGAATCAAAAGCTAATCTGAGACTAGAAGAATTTCAAGAAAGTTTGTATGAAAGACTAAATATATTAAATTTGGAATCCGAAGCAAAAATTAAAGAAGCCTTGGAAGAGAAAGAGGTAGGTAGGCTTGTTTACCTCTCTTTCATATAACCTATTCATTCTTATTTCTAGATTATTTAAAAGTATAGTGATAAAAAAATATATTCAATAAATTTTACACAATTTTATATGAAATTATTGTTATTTTTTCCACTAAATTATTTGTTAGTGAAAAATTCTGTGACTTTGTGAGAACTGTGATAAGAGTTATTTATACTAATTAATTTTCTCTGAGTCATTGATAAATATAACATATAATGACTTGCATGTGTGAAATATAATTCTTTGATTTGAAAAATAGGAAATATTACACAGCATGGCATCTACACTGGTTATCATAAATTAAGGAAAAATCACAATTGCTGAAAAAGTTACATGTAGAATTTTATGAAACTTACCCACAATATACAACACATAGTAAGGTATTAAATAACATAAAAATAAATTACCAGACAATTATGGTTGTATAAAAATTAGCACATGTATAAAATGAACAAATCGAAGGTGTCAGTTTGCTATAAGAAAAGTACCTTCAGTAGGGAATATGGTCACCTCTAGAGCAATACAGCGCATACAGTGATGCGTGATGCTTTCAATTATGCGGTCTATCAGTTCCATAGGAAGCGAGAGCCATTGCTCTTGCAAAACAGTTGCAAGCGTGGTAAGGGTCTGAGGGGCAAACTGAGAGCAGCTAGACATCTCTCTAAATCATCCCCAACGTGCTCGATAGGATTCAAGTCCGCTGATCCAGCTGGCCACTCCATGCGCATAATTGTTTCCTGTTGAAGGTAATCATCTATGATGCGAGCCCTGTGTGGTCTTGAGTTATCGTCCTGTAACAGGAAAGCATCACCTATTGCCCTGGAACATGGACGCACATAAGCATCAAGGATGTCATCTCTATAAACCAGAGGATTCACGGTTTCGTTGGAAAGACATGGAGGTGTGTGCGTCCATCTAAAGAGATGCCACCCCAAACACAGACGCTGCCTCTTCCGTATGCATCTCTTTAATGGATGTTTGATGAATGATAATGGGTTCCAGGTTCTTTCCATATCAAATAACGCCTACTATCGCTTTCTAGACTAAACCTGAACTCATCCGTAAAGAGAAATATTTCATTAAAATAATGCTAATACATTGAAATTTTATTCAAGAAATAACATTAAAATTAAACATTTTTATTTTTCGCTATCATATAAAGTGACATTACTTTCGATTTTGGTGACTTATTATACAATATTTTGAATCTGAAAAATAAACAAGGTAATAAATGTGTTAGCACTATTTATGAAACAATTCTTAGCAAAAGCAAAATAGGTATGTAATTAATTAAAACTGCCTTCGTTGTAATTTTTTCATGGTGAGAGTTTTTCCCATGTAGTTGTCTCAATATGCCTCAGTTTTCTCTATGAAATTAATTTTATACTTTTCCCTCTGATTTTTAAAAAAAAAATATTTCAGCCTTTTTGCTGTTACAGAATTGGTTGGGGTAATTTTTCTTCAGGATTTTAGACTCTGCAATTTGCAAAGTTTAGAATGATTTTAAGGCAAGATTTACGGACCCACTAAGCTAGAAGATTCCAGACAAATGTCTTCATGGTATTAACACGTAATGGATGTATTTTACAGGAAGTTTGTGATAAAATTTTACTTTTGGGAGAATTTTCTGAAAAACAAGGAAAACATAATATTTAAATGTTTTATTTCTGATACTAGATTTTTTTTCTTAATATGTTTATCTTTCCATTGTTTTCTCAACTTTTCACTAGATACAGTTATGGAAAATATCAAATATGCTTCTAATCTTATCGCATGGACAAGCATTTATAGAAAGGAATTTTTCTATTAATAAAGAAATTGAAAACTGACAATTTAAAAGATTAATCTTATATGTCTCAATGCATTGTCAGTGGTGTAGCTAGGGTGAGGCAAGGGGGGACACCTGTCCCCGGGGCAGCATCCATGGGATGCCAAATTGATGTTACAAAATTTTAGAATGAAATGTTTTTCATACAGGAGGGGAAGCAAAATCTTCAGTTGTCCCTGGACGCTGAAAACCTTAGCTACAGCTTTGTGCATCATAAACAGGGCTGGCACTATGCATTTTCCTACCTGATGCAATCTCTCTGGATCCTAAATTCTAAAATTTTGCCATTTCTTGATTTTATTGCTCAGTGTATCACTAAATTCTAAAAATTCTGCTACATCGGTACTGTAACTGACCCACACCGTATATCATTTTATATTTATTCTGAATGCTCACATTACTAAAGAAATCAAATTAGCACCTTTTCCTATAAAATCTATGTGCTTTTTTAGAATAACAGAAATCTTTAATTAAGTCCAAAATTCTAAAATGAAGAGGAAACATATTAAAAAAAGAAACCGAATACACAAAAAGAAAGAAAATTTTTCTTCAAAGATATGTACAGTTGTTATTATGTAAATTAAGCAGTTGTGTATAATTTCAGCCTTTGCTATAATTTTTAAAGTAAGGTTTTGGAGTTGTAAGACAGAATTTGTTTCTTGCCTCCGCTTGCACCCTGTATTAATTCCTACCAGCTCTGATAATTTGTAATTATTCGTTTTTGCGTTATTGCTGACGATACTTGGAATTTGTTACGTGATGACTAGATTACGACGAGTTGTGAGTTTGTTAAGGCATGTTACTACTGAGCCAGCTTAGATTAAAATTAAATTGTCTGGTCTTTGACGGTTAGTCCACATTCTTAGTTTGAATTTGACTGTTACTGTTTAATTGGATCACCATAAGCTGCAGTTGATTTTGCTAGCATAAGAACATGCCTTTATGTTCTAAGGTCTTTTTAAAAAAAGAGGTAGCTTTTTTTTAAACCATTATCTAATTTTGTAGTTACCTTTAGACATAGCAATAATTTGCTTCGTGTCTATCGGGGGTTTGGGACTATTTAATGTTTACCAGATCAAGTAAAACCTCACAGGTACTTTATTGAGAGATTGCCAAGTTAGGAGATAAAACATGAGAAACTAGTGAGAATACTTTTTTAGCATATTGAAACAAATTTCTTATAGTTATAAAAGATGCTTTTAAAAAGAAGGAAATTGATATAATACAGTCAAAAGTCGTTAATCCGGACTCGTCGGGACTTCGGCGATTTCGGATTATCGATTTTTCCGGATTATAGATCATCAGTTTAAATCTGGTAAGATGGCATGCAGAAATTATAAAATTTAAAAACATGAAAACGAATTATGAAAAAAGAACAATTATGATCTAAAGAGTATCAAAATTTACAAAAAAAAAAAAAAAAAAAGCTTAATATTTATTGTTTACTTATAAACATTTCTTTCAATGTAAGTTGTTTCATTTTTTATGTGATAACATTCTCTTTAATTCTATAAACAGACATAATTTCTTGTTCAGTTCAAAGTTCCGCTGTTCAAGTCCTATGAGTGCGTGTCGAGAGTACCGACTAATTTGTCAATCGAAATTTTTCGTTTTCAATAACCTCTGTGTCACTTTCTTCACTATCGGAAACGAATATAATGACGGGAATTTAAATATATCAAAGACAAAGTACATCGAGATGAAACTACATTTAGTAAGGAATTATAAGCCAAATAAAAAAAACATCTGCCCTGAAGATAAGTATAGTGCTGACAGATCAACTTCCAATTCATTGTGCGCTGCAGCGTTAAAGATAAACAAACGTTAAAGTTTAGATAAACAAAAATCTTTTATAGATAAACAAAGTTGCCCTGAAGAAAGCAGATCAACTTCAATTCATTGTGCGCTGCAGCGTTAAAGATAAACAAACGTTAAAGTTTAGATAAACAAAAGATATGCCTTTATCTATTTTTTGCAGCAATTCCACTTTTCGTTTAATGGACTTCGAAACATACTTTCGCTTTGTAGATCCTTTACATATTAGTAAATATATATCGGAAATTCTATTTGACATAATCAAAAGTTCAAGCTTACTTTTATAAAATTGCTCTAACTGTCTGCAAAAAATAATAAGCCGGATCCAATTCGAAGATTAAGGAACAGCACATGCAACATTAACTGAATTAGATAATTTTAGCTTAGCTTATACCGTACGTTATACATTAAACAAGCATGCGTAAATGTATTATGTGCATGCGCGCACACACATATTTGCAGCAGTAAATGTCTTACGGTGCATGCGTCTCCAGAAAGTTTGTAGCTTTGAGGTCCAGATTAGGGGTGTCCAAATTAACGACTTTTGACTGTATAATATTCCTTCACATTTTCCTTGGTTAAGTCTAAATTTGTTTAACTTAAATTTAAGTTCAATGTGCTAAGAAACTTAGATTCATGTGCTATTCTGATCATCGCCAAGCGTAATGTCAACATAAAAAGTTACCATATTCTTTATTATTCAATTACTAACATAAAAAAAATTGTTTAGGCATCGCTACATGAGTCATTACTCAAGTTGTCATGTGTTGATAAACATGCGGTGATTAAAGCAAAATATAATAAATAATGATTCGCCAGGTTGATGTCGGGGATATAAAACATTAGTAGGTGTAAAATTAGTGATTAGTGATATTAGTAGGTGTAAAATTAGTGTATCTATGTAGAATGTTTCAGTTTGAGATGTATGCCAAGCAGATACGCATCTATGGAGCCAAATTATTGATCATACAAATTTATGCTAAAATGATTATTTCTTCAATAACAAGATATTTTATTCAGTACAAAAGTGAAATTAAGAATCTGACTTTCCACGTGTTTTATTATATCGGGGGGGGATCACATGCTCATGCATAAAGCATATAAAAAAAAATTTTTTTTTTTCAAAGTTGGTGCCTTTGAGGTCCAGATTTTAGATCATTCCGGATATTGGACATCCAAATCTCGGACTTTGTACTGTACATGTAAAAATACTGTTACCTGCTATTGGACAATTAGACCATTATCTCTGACTTTTTTCCAAGAAGTTCAACATTTCTATATCTCCAAGAGTAGCTTTGAATTCTACTTTCTTTTACATGAGTCCACAGTTTGAAAAACGTTGATCTTTTTAAGAAATTCAGTAAGTTTATGTTCTGTTCAATATTTTTGTTTCCTACTAGGTTTTCAGTTTTTTAGTTGTTTAAAAATTTAGAAAATTATTGGTTTAGAAATTTATGGAAATCTCTTTAGAAGCTTGTCATTTTTTCATAGTATTAAAAGTTTAAGGTTCACATAATCGGGGACCGCTCATTCTTTGAGTATTGTTTAAATGATAATTTAATTTAAAAGTTTATTCTTTTACTCATTAATTTATAATTGCTTTTGAAAGTCCATTTTAATGTATCTTTGGCAATTTTGTTTTTTAGAGTAGTCAGTTTTGCATAATGTAATATTTTTTACTCATTCCCTTTTTTCAAAGTGTTTGAATGCATGTAGAGAAAATTTTAAATACATTTGAGATTCGATCTTTCGTTTTTTTTAATTTGATTGAATCTTTTATTGGTTTTTTAATCTCAAATGATTCAGAAGAATGAAACTAAATCAACTTTTGTGAAAGTAATTTTCCCCTGATGAGTTCTGAATTAGGGATTCAAGCAAAGGAGATTAGTTTGTAGTTTTTATTTCTATAACCAATTTGCTTCTTATTTTTCGGGTTTATTCTACTGATGAACTCTTTTGTTAATTATCTTTAGTTGCAGTGTAGACTTTTTTTACATGGTTTCAGTTATTAATATTAATAAGGAATTGTTTTGTATTGATTTCAGTTTAATTTTTGTTGCTTTATGTTTATATATATATATTGTTTATATATATATATTGTTTATGTATATATATATTGGTAATACAGTACAAAGTCTGTAATTCGGCCATCTGTAATTCAAGCAAAGGAGATTGTTGTAGTTTTTATTTCTATAACCATTTGCTTCTTATTTTTCGGGTTTATTCTACGATGAACTCTTTTTTTAATTATCTTTAGTTGCAGTGTAGACTTTTTTTACATGGTTCCGTTATTAATATTAATAAAAAATTGTTTTGTATGATTCAGTTTAATTTTTGTGCTTATGTTTATATATATATATATATATATATATATGGTAATACAGTACAAAGTCTGAATCCGGACTCGTCGGGGCTCGGCGATTCCGGATTAGGGGTTTTCTGGATTTTAGATCATCATTTAAATCTGGTAAGATGGCATGCAGAAATTATACAATTAAAAAATGAAACCAAAATTTAGAAATAAAGAGCAATTATGATCTAAAGGTAAAAATTTAAAAAAAAAAAAGCTTAATATTATTTGTTACTTTATTAAATTATTTCAATGCGCGATGCGTAAAGTTTGTGGCTTTGAGGTCCGGATTATAGATCACTCCGGATAATGGACGTCCAAATTACAGACTTTGTACTGTATCTATCTATCTATCTATATCTATATCTATATATATATATATATGTATTATAATTGGCAATAGTTTGTTAATTTTCTTTCACTGTATTTCATGCATATTTAATGTATTTTAAGTATTCGTTAATGTTCTTGTCTTTTTTCATCTGATATTTCTTTCAATTTATTGCAGCAAATAAAGTCTGAATTGGAGAATTTTCATCTTTCTTTGAAAACCTTTTTGCAAAATGTTTTCCCAGATTTTCAAGTGGTAGAAAGATTAGTAAGTTTTAAATAATTAGTTCTTGTTTCTTTTATTATGTTTCTGATTTTCATAGCCTTAAATTTGAAATAGATCATACCCATCATTTTATTTCATTAGAATTACTTTCGATTATGGAATTTAAGATTGTTCTATTTTTCATATTTTATTTTGGTATGTATTTTAATTTAAAAATTGTAAATTATCAGGAAAATTGTTTATGGAATTTAGCATTTAAAGAAAGTTTTATGTTGTGTATATTTTAATATTTGAGCGAGATGTGTTTTTTAGTAAAGAATCTAATTGTGTGCGATGGGTATCGGATACAGTCAAAAGTCGTTAATACGTCTCGTCGGGACTTCGGCGGATTCGATTATCGATTTTTATATACAAATATCAGTTTAATTGGTAAAATGGCTGCAGAAGTATAAAATTAAATATGAAAACCGTAATAATGAAATAAAGAACAATTATGATCTAAAGGGTATCAAAATTTACAAAAAAAAAAAAAAAAAAAAAGCTAATATTTATTTGTTTACTTATTAAACATTTCTTTCAATGTAAGTTGTAGTTGCTTCGTTTTTATGCGATAATACTTTCTCTTTAATTCTATAAACAGACATAATTCTGTTCAGTTACAAAGTTTCGCTGTTCAAGTCCTTATAATTGTTGCGAGAATTACCCACTAATTTGTCAATCGAAATTTTTTCATTTTCAATAACTGTCACTTCTTCGCTATCGGAAGCGAATCTAATGACGAGGAATTTGGATTAAATCATATCAAAGACGAGTACATGGAGATGAAATACATTAGTAAGGAATTATAAGCCAAAAAAATAAACCATTGCCTGAAGATAAGATATGCGACAGATCAACTTCTAATTCATTGCGTGCTCGGAGTTAAAGATAAACAAAGTTTAGATAAACAAACGTTAAAGTTTAGATAAACAAGGATATGCCTTTATCCATTTTTTGCAGCAATTCCACTTTTGTTTAATGGACTTCGAAACTACTTTCGCTGGTAGATCTACATATTAGTAAGATATATCAGAAATTCTATTTGACATAATCGAAATTCAAGTTAATTTTATAATGCTCTAACAGTCTGCACAAAATTAAGCGAACATTAAAAATAAAAAAATGCAACTGAACATTTAACGAATTAGATATTTATTAGCTTATACATTCGTATACAGACATTCGTAAAGTATTTGCGCACACGTACACGCGAATTGGCAGCTGTAAAGATCAAATTGACGCATGCGCAGAAGGTTTGTAGCTTTGAGGTCCGGATTATAGATCATTCTGGATTATGGGTGTCCGAATTAACGTCTTTTGACTGTAACTTGTTTTTTCTTTGGTATCTACATGTGAACAGTCTGTTGGCACCTTTTGGTGATGAAATCTTGTTTTACCCATTCCATTTTCAGTATGTATTTTTTGGCAGTTGCGTGCCAAATAGCATCAAATAAATCAATCAAGTAAATCTTTATTCTTTTCAGCTTGCTTCTGCATCCATATGAACTCTGATATTTTAGAAAGCAAGTGCCGATAAGGTGTAACATGTTTGTAGAGACATTAGATATTTTTTGGAAGCAGGCAAGATGAAGAATTAGTAAACACCTTCGCCAGAAATTGAACCACGAACCTCTGGAACGAGGCCCAGCGTGCAGAACCACGAAGGCATGCTAGGAAAGTGGGAGAAATACCTTATATACTCCCCCTTTTAAAGGGCGACTGGGGTTTTAGGGTCGCCAAATCATGGGTGTGGATAATCATCAGCCACCACCCGTTTTAGTTGGGGAGCCACTGTAGAGACATTAGGTACTTTTTGGAAGCAAGTGACTTGAAGAAATGAGCAACGCCTTCGCCGAGAATCGAACCACGAAACCTCTGGAATACGCGTCCAGCGTGCAGACCACTACACTACGAAGGTATGCTAAGTAGGTGGGAGAAATACCTTATATACTCCCCTTTTAAAGGGCGCTGGGGTTTTTAGGGAACCCAGTCGCCAAACTGGGTGTGGAGAATCCTCATCCAACACCATTTTAGTTCGGGTGCCACTGTAGAGACATTAGGAATTTTTTGGAAGCAGGAAAAATGAAAAATTAGCAAACACCTTCACCAGGAATTGAACCACGGACTTCTGGAATACTGGCCCAGCGTGCTACACTACGAAGGCACACTAGGAAGGTGGGGTAAATACCTTTGCTAATTCCTTATTTTTATTGGCCCCATACATAGACCAGTGTTGGCATGTTGGCAACAATCTTGGCATCAAAGTTTTCAAAGTGTTTTCCTCTCCTTACTATTTGCCTAGGCAGGTAGTTCTCGTGACTTTGTCATATTTAAATAAGCCAAACCAGTTTTACTGCTTTTCTTTGTGGTGTAATTGGAAGCACAGCTGGCTTGACATTGAAATTTAAGGACTTTTTCCCTCCCAAAAAAAGAAAACCATCCCCTTTTTCCTGAAGGGGGTATTAACAAGAATGCAAGGAAAGTTTTATCTTTATAAAAGAATTTGGAACAGCTTCTTGGGTTGTCAAACATACCCAAGAATCAGTCTTGGTTGGTATTTTTGATAGTATGGCAACAGACTAGCGAACTAACAAGTATCTTCATATTTTTAGCCTATGGTTGACAAATTAAAATTTCTTTTTGATTTATTTTCAGGATAATAAAGCATTAAGCCAATATGAAAGTGAAGCAAAATGTTATATTGATAAAATTAGGCAAGACCAAGGATATGGTTCTAAAGATGCAGAAAATGTGATTAGAAAGTTGGAAAATGCAGCCCAAGAAAAATTGAATTTACAGTCTCAAATAAAAAAATATGAAACTGTTTTAGCTGAAACGGTAACAAGGAATTTTTTCTTTAAAATCTTGTATTTTAAAAATTCTATTGGTTAAATTTTAATATTAGAAGACAGTGATAAGTAAAATAAACAAATTATTGTTAAACATTATCCAGGATTATTAATTTACCTACTCTACATAAATCCTTAGCTCAGATGCTCGTAAATTATGGTTTTAATAATCAGTGCATTAAATCCATTAAAATATTAAATTTCATTTCTTAAAGGAATCTATCCTAAAGGCTCTGCAAAATAATATTGAAACTGAAGAAAAGAAATGGAAAAAAGAAATACAATCTAAAGATGAAAGTTTAAAAGAAGTATGTTACTTAATTGATATTTATAAAATGTGTGTATTGAACATGTGAAAATTTTGTGATACTGTATGTAAAAGAATTGTGTACTCTTGCTGCTATATGTCAATGATCTTATACATTAGGTAGAGTTTAGATGTTAGTATAATCCCTCCAAATGCTTATGTGACTGGTGTATCCTTGTAAAGATAGTTGGAATTATAACTCAGGGAATGAAATAAAACACATACACATACATGCTTACACATATTACATTTTCTGTTCACAAACTGTATTTTGATAAATATTAAAAGACTAACTTATAAATATTTTCTTCGTTGTTCCTGAGATATTACACGTTTTTATTTTAGCATTTCATCTGTGATTTGGGTTATACTTTTTAAGACAAAATTTTCTTTTTCACCATCTGGTCTATTTTTTAATTATTTTGTAAATAAAATGATGATAAATTAGTTTCACATAAATCATGTATAATGTAAAAGTAAATATTTGATTGCAGCTCTTGACAGCAATTCCCCTCGAGAAGTTGGTGGTGAGTGAAGAGGGATGGGAGAACCTCAGACCTGTCTCCCAGGAGTGCTTTCCTTCAAAATTGGGAGCAGAACATACTGTCGCCTGTAAGGTGCCCAAGATTCTTACCAACGACAGGCGCAATCTTGAGTCCTTACCATGGTGAATTTCGTGGGCTTGCTCTGACTTTAGACAAATGAGATTAGTCACAACAACAACAGATCCAATTACAATATCGTTAATATATACTTTTTTTAAGCTTAAATGGTTGGCCCAGAAGGGCATTTTGCTTCGAATCACTTTTCAAATAGTTGCCACCAAATGTAATATAATCCAATTTTATTATATTTGAAAAAACTAAATAGTGAAGAATCTACATGAAAGTATATCTGTAAGAAATAAAACATTTTTATCTCCAGCGCGTGAGACTGTCTATCGGAAATTGTAAAGATACATACACTGTTTTTAAATATTTTTAGTCCAATGTGGCGTTAGCCTAAATGCTCTTGAAATGTGTATATATCTGTAAATGAAAACAAAACCATCCATTTGAATGTAATATGAAATCTGAAAGCTTTCATATGTATGTATGTATGTAAGAAAAATAATATATAAAAGATTAATATAGCAGCATTATTCTAAAAATAGCAACATCTATTTTCACTGTGTCATTTCGAGAAAAATCTATGTCATATGACTCTTTACATAATTCTGGTGATGTAAATTGAACTAAAACTCAAGCAGGCAATAATAATTTTACTGCAATATTAATATTCAATCAAAATGCTTTGAGAACCAAAACTAACTCAGTTTGACTTCAGATTTCATCCTGAACATTACGCACTTGCTTTCAACGCTTTGGCCTAGCTACACTGCTGTCTGTCTGCTTCTTCTTTTTTGCTACAAATATATAAAAAAATGTAAGCTTTTGGAACAGGCACACTTTTGGCCTTTTGTGCCAACTTATGTGTAGCCGTAAGATGTTGCTGAAAATAAAACTGAAGATTTAATCTGCATTCGTCTCCAATTTCCTAGTCATTATGGATCAACACATCTATGCCTTCTAAATTCCTGAGTTTGAATATATTATTACATATATATGTTGGTGTCAGGATTTTTCTCTTACATCCACTGTGTGTGTATCTTTTTGATTTTGCGTTATTATTTAACAGGACAGAAATTCACAACGAACATCATTATAATACTTTATTCTACTCCTCTTTTAAAAAGTGCATGAGTAATTAATATCGTCTGCCGTCGCGGTTACATTCCTTATCTCTTGTTTTTGTTACAAATGCTTTGAATATCTTTTAATATCATGATGCCATCTGGTGGTAGACTGTGGAAATTGCTAACTATATATATGTATATATAGCATTTTCATTTTTTCCCTAACTTAGAAAGCAGATTTCGGGCACTGCAGGCCTTGGCCCATTAGGGCTGTTACATCACTGAGTTTAGTTTTTTTAAGTGAAGAAGTAGTGACATATGTCTAAACACTAACTACTGTTCTGTACTTCATGCCTGAATTCTCAAAATCAATCAGTTGTAGTTCTACCATTTTATTCACTTTATTATTAAATTCAGCAAATGTAGAGCATTCATAACAAAATGCAGCACTATTAACATATATCTTGCATCTAGAAGCAATGCTTTATCATCTGGCAGTATTGATACAAGTGATAGTTTATAGTCTGGGCAGGCACCATTTTGAATGGCTGCATTTATCTGTAGAACTACCATTTTTAAAAAAAATCAAAATAAAGTTCTTATGGAAGTCCTTTTTAATGAACATTAATTAATTAATGAGCACTTTTTATGAGATGATTTTTCTAATGCATGATAAGTTTTATTCCCACTGTGCTTTTCTTGTGCCAAGATATCCTTGAAGGAATGAAATGAGATAGCCTTAAAGAAATTAAATGAATGACAGGGCTTATATATATATTTACTGGATTTCAATTCAGTCAAACATATCTGAGATACATTAGGAAATCAATTTAGGTCACTGTATTGCCCACTAATATGCTGCAGGCCCATTAGAATATAGTTAATCATAAATATGCTCTGCTACTCGGATATTCTTAAATAATCAGAAGTCTGAAAAATTGATGTGAACCTTGAATTTCAATCAAGTATCCATACATTGCATTAAAATTGTCCATAAATCTGGAGTTAAAAATTTGGGCAAAATATTTGATATCAAACTGTTTGTGTTCTCACTTCTTAAATGAAGTTGCATATTGATTTCAAGAGCAGTTGTGCTTTAAATTTTTGTTAGATATATTAGTACAGTCAAAAGTCTTTAATCCGGACTCATCGGGACTTCGGCGATTCCGGATTATAGATCATCAGCTTAAATCTGGTAAAATGGCATGCAGTAATTATAAAATTAAAAATATGAAACCGTAATTTATGAAATAAAGAACAATTATGATCTAATATCATAATCAAATTTGCAAAAAAAAAAAAAAAAAAAAAAAAAAAAAAAGCTAATATTTATTGTTACTTTATTAAACATTTCTTTTAATGTAAGTTGTTCGTTTTTTATGCGATAACATTCTCTTTAATTCTATAAACAGACATATTTCTGTTCAGTACAAAGTTTTCCGCTGTCAAGTCCATATTTGCTGTGTCAAGAATACCGACTAATTTGTCAATCGAAATTTTTTCGTTTTCAATAACCTCTGTTACTTTCTTCGATTGGAAGCGAATATATGACGGGAATTTGATTAAATCATATCAAAGACGGAGTACATCGAGATGAAAACTACATTTAGTAAGGAATTATAAGCAAAATAAAATAAAAAAACATCGCCCTGAAGATATGGATAGTGCGACAGATCAACTTCCAATCGTTGCGCGCTGCGCCATTAAGATAAACAAGCTTAGAAAACAACGTTAACTTAGATAAACAAAGGATATACATTTATCCATTTTTTTGCAGCAATTCTACTTTTGTTTATGGACTTCGAACATAGTTTCGCTTTGTAGATCCTTTACATATAGTAAATATATATCGGAAATTCTATTTGACATAATCGAAAGTTCAAGCTTACTTTTATAAAATTGCTCTAACAGTCTGAAAAAAATAAGTCGGATCCAATTAGAAGATTAAGGAACAGCGCCAATCTGCAATATTAACCGATATGCCTTAGAATCAGTAAAGATAATTTTAGCCTACTTATACCATCCATTATACATTAAACGAGCATGCATAAATTTATTTTGCACACGCGCACACACATATTCGCAGCCGTAAAGGTCTTAGGCGCATGCGTCAATGTGACACATGCGCAGAAAGTTCATAGCTTTGAGGTCCGGATTATAGATCATTCCGGATTATGGGTGTCCAAATTAACGACTTTTGACTGTATTAAGGTAATAAAAAAATTGTCTCATCTTTGATCTTAACACCTTTTTCTTTCGTATGTGTGTGAAATTCTGATTATTCGCCCAAAAAAAATTCCATAAGAAAGCTCTAAGTTTTTCACAATTATTTTGCATTATGTATTTTGCATTATGTATTAGTTAAAAATTGCACTGAAATCATGTTTTGTGTTTAAAAATTTTGCTTTTTGTTTTCAGGTCTTAAGTGAAAATGAAAAGCTAAAGTTGCAGAATAAAACTCTGCTGACAAATTTGGAGCAGCTTCAAGGTCTTAAAGAGGTAAAATGAAAAAAATCCATAGAATGAGAAAAAATATGTTTGGAAAAGTGTAACTAAAGTCATTTAGATTATTATCTATGAAAGCCTATTGCAGATTGATCTAATTTACTAGTCATGTTAAATATACAAGTTTCTATACTAAATACTGTATGCTAATTATACAAGTAAAATACGAGTAATTTATTCGTAAATATACGAGTTTCTGTATTAAATACTGTATGCCCGATAAACTGTATGTAAAATTTTCAGCAAAATTATTCAAAATTGTCTTAATACATAAAGTAATTTCATATATTAAAATATTGGGTGATTTTAACCACAGTCAGTATTAATTTCAGACAATGAATAACTGCATCAATTTCCATAAAAACTGGTAAATTCTAGTATTTAACATGGTAAAGTGAAAAAAATGCATGCAAAATCTCCCATTTTGGACTTCTACAATCATTCTGTTAATCATTTACCAATACTAACTACTTACAATACTTAAAAATTTAAAAAACTGAAAGCTAACTGTTGTAATATATTTGTTTAATGATAAAAACATCTTAAGTTTTTCTTGTAATAAAATGTTTTAATTTCATGTTCCTGTTGCATAACTACCGTAATTTCCGGAAGAAAGGCCGCATCAGCGTAAACGCCGCACTCGAGAAAAATGGCGAGGAAAAAAATTAAAATTACACAGAAACGCCGCATCAGCGTAAAACACGCAATAGATTATAAATTGGCGCGACATCGTCGTGGGCCGTATAGATGCAAAAACTCAACCTAAGTCCTGATATATGACATACCAGTTAAAAAATGCATGAAATGAAACATAACTCAAAAAAATAAATTAAAGGTAAGAAATTGGAAAAATATTTACCTTCACGTATATTTTATTACCCACTAAAGAAACCCATTTGTAATCTCAGCCTATATTATAAAAAATGTTGCAAAACGAAATATTAAATTTGGATGACAAAAGGAAATTTAAATATTACTTACGAATACGCAAATATACATCATTGAAGCCATCAAAATTGATTCTTCACTATCTGAATTAAAAAGATTTAGTAAATCTGATATAAGTCTTTCAGATCGTCCATTCATCCTCTGGTTTACAGTCTCTTTATCTAAGGATATAATTTCAGCTTCTTGAACCCTGCTAGATTGACAAATGTTTCTACGATTCCACGCACTTCCTGCCCACTTTGAAATTTCTTCATAAGGATGCAATGCATTTTTACCGCTTTTGGTTTACGTATGCAATCTTCACTCATCCAACACTCCCACCGCTTTCGGAACTTCAGCTTTGAAGGATTTACTACCTGACAATCTAACGGTTGTAAGATTTTTGTCCAAACCACCAGAATTATTGCTTCGTCGTAGACAATTTTTGACATCTGGTTCACGACTCAAAGAAATGAGCATGCATGGAATCCATTATTCAATAACCCCTTTGGTTGGAAAAAAAGATCCATAACAAACACTGCCAAACTTTTGTAGCCACTCTACACGATTGTTTTGCACATCCAGCCATTCTTGTTGCATAAATAATTACGTCATTAGGAAAATCTCCCTTTTGGAATACTTTTTCGTTTAAAAATTATCATCGGCTTTAGCTTGTCACCATTGAGGCACAAGCTAACACACCGTAAATGATGTTGTTTTTCATGCCCCCTCGTAAGCAAGATTACAGTTTTGCACCAGTTTCATCAACAGTTTGTTGCAGGAGAGTCGAAGCTAACGGCGTTTCATCCATATTTATTATCTGCGACCGAAGAAGTTTTTTTTTTTTTTTTTTTTTTTTTTTTTGTCAATAATAGCTGTCACATATTTTAGAAAAGAGACTTTTATCCTGCCAGTCCATGGTAACTGTTGCCCGAGTTGTTCTAGTACGCACAGAAATATTTTTTTCCTTTTCATAAATCTGCTACACCTTCTTTGAAATCATTTATGTTCATTCGTTTTGCTATAAATTTTGCTTGTAAGCGAATTTTTACAGTCGAAATTGCCATTCCCTTTCTTCGTTGCTCCTTTATCCAGTTTGCAAGGTCGTCCCTCTAGATTTGGCCACCTTACAGTACCACTTCTTTTGGCTCGTTTCTGTTGTGGCATATTTTTAAGAAGTTCTTTTTCAGTTCTCCAACGTAGAATACATCTGTCGTCCACTTCAAACTCTCGAGCTGCTGCTCTATTTCCAATTTGTTCAGCACGCGAAATTACATTAAGCTTAAAACCAGCAGTATAGCTTCTGTGCCGTTTAGGGACATTTTCAAAAATTTTATGCTCCCTTCTTACTTAAAAACTATTCAACAAGTACTTGTACCCAAACTGATGGGATCTGTATCTGGCAGAATGCCAAGAAAAATCCATTCATGCTGAAGGGAAATACGTCAGAGTTCGTTATTGCGAGGCAGGTGGAGTCGTGTCCGCCTTTGAAAAAAATTGCAGAAAAGGCAGGGGTGGGGAGAGGATGGGTCCTGGAAGATTCATCAAATGGCAGAGGAGAGAGACTATTCGAACTGATGAGAATGTTGATTTGAAAGGGGGAAGAATGTTATTTTTCTGAGATCTCATTTAGGGTGAATAAGACATATAGGTCCGTTCAAGGGAAAGAATGTAAATAAAATAACGTTTGCAGAAAGCAACTGAGTGGTCTTTTGTGTGGGAACAGCACCGTCTATGCACAATGACAAGGCCATCCAAACTATGTACAATGACCATCATAGGAAATATTTTATTTTTAGTGCACCTAAACGCCGCATGGGTAGAAACGCCGCACCCGCAGGAAATTTAAGTTTTAAACACGTAAACGCCGCAGCGTTTCTTCTGGAAATTGCGGTAAAAAAAAACAGTAATAATTAAAAATATGTGCCCACCATATCTGATACATCGTAAGTATACAAAATGGGCAGTATGCTCTTTGGTAGCACTCTTAAACAAGGTGAGTATTTATCGGCTGATAAAGGATGTTGCCATTTACTAAAATGGTTTTATAAAATCCCAAAATGGAAATGCTTACATACATTTTTTGCACTTTTAATACTTCACAGCAATAAATGCTAGGACTTACCATCAGGCTGTTATAGAAATTTATTTTACTTGTTAATGAGAAGACAAAATATAATAGAAAAATACAATGAAATGTAGGTTATTTTCTGTTAAAGACACTTTGTGACCTTTTTTTTTTTTTTTTTTTTTTTTTTTTTTAGCATATTTCCCCAGGGCCAGGTGTTGCCAGTTTAGTTTGTCTTCTTTCTAGAGATACTGTTTTTATAATTGCTTGGGCAACCACATTTTTTAGCCTCCTTTTTTTTTTACTACGATGTATTTCATTATTTAGGATTTGAAATATTTGATCTGGATAGGACATGTCATACAAAATTTGTTGAGCACTAATGGGATAGTGAAGAGATGGCACAATAAATGCCAAAGAGGCACTGCTATTACTTATAATCTTATTTAATTGAACTCCTATGGCATTGCATGCATTCTAGGGGGAAAATGTTCTCTGTTGTACTATATGCCATTCTTAATTTTATGCTCTTTGTTTAGTTGTATATGAATTCTTTTTAGCGCAATGTTTATTAAAGCTGTTATTTTTTATTTGTTTTACATATTTTATTTGGTTTTAATGTGAATTTCATTCCCCTTATGTGCTCTTTTTAGTTGAAGACGTGAAAACTTTTTCAAAATTAAAGAAATAAAAGTGTATCCAGATCAAAATGTAATTTAAAACATTTTCCACTCATTGTTTCATGTATTCTCAAAAAGTCTGTTATTATTTCTATTTAATAAACCAAAGAAAGAAATACAGGTGCAAGAGGAATCCCCTGCCTTACGCATTCATTTGTTGGATCTGGTTATAGTTTTTGTAATGTAAAATTTTACTTTAAATTTTACAGAAATATGCTTTGCTTTAAAAAAAGGAAGAATTTATTTCGGGCTAATTATATTTTAGTGTATGAATATGATAATATAGCTTTTAATATCCTCTTTCAATAATGCTTACACAGGCTTTGTGTGAAATTGAAGATCTAAGACAAAGACTGCAAAAAGAAGAATTGGAAAAGAAATCACTTCAAGAAAAATTAGGAGTTTTAGTAAGTGTAAATTTATTAATAATATATTATTTTATGAAAAAAGTTTTTAATGTAGAATTTCAATTTTTCTTGTATTTATAATATTTTTATTTGTTTCATTTTCATTCTAAAATAAAGGTTTCATTTTATTTAAAATTGTTTAGTTTTATCTGTTTTGTTGGTTCCATTGTGCAGGAAGGATAAGTGTCAGACATCTGCATTTCAGTCCTCCTTTTTCTAATTGAGAAATTATCATTTGGTGAAATTATTTCATTTTTAGTTGGCAGTCCTATTTTGACAGGAAACTGATTGGTTACGCTTCTGCAATTTTTCTTTTACTTGTAAAGATTTCACGTTGTATGTTTGCCAATCTAAATAGAGATAATTAAATTTTAACAATTTGTATTTCATACCTGCATGTGTTTCGTCTCGCAAGCTGCTTGGAGAAAAACACACATGCACAAAGTAAAATTGTGCTGTCTCACCAGGATAAAGAAGGAAACTATAAAGTACCTTCTTACTTTTATTTTACCCTGTTTTATTAGTTTCAAATTATTATGCAGAGCTACCATTAATTTAGAATGAGCTAATTTGTGATAACTTTTGAGTTCCACCCCAGATTTAATCTCAAGCTGAGTATTTCCATAAAATTAATTTGAAAGGAAAAAATGATTGTTTATCAGTTTTATTAATTATTAAATTTTAGTGTTTTTAAATTCCAAAATGTTAAAAGTAGTTTGTGAACATTAGTTAATATAGCATTTACTTTATTTCTTAATACTTATTTTTATTTATATTATTTATTGGAAATGCATATAAAAAAAGGATTTATAGGAAATTCACATAAAATTTGATCTTCCGTTATATATGTGGATGTTAGTGTAGAGAATACATTTGGTTTTGATTTTTCCTCTTTTTTCCTTTTCCCAGGATTCCTTGACAAATAATTCTTCTATATCTGTTTCTGAGAATAATCTGATGCAGATTCCTGAAGTGAGTATAATATCACTTAAGATTTTAGCATTAAAATATTTTTTCTTCTTACCTAGTCATAAAAAAAGCCATTTACCATTTGGTTAAGTGAATGGAAACTTAAATAAATAAAATATTTTATAATTTTTAACACAAAATATTAAGCAAATTAAAGACTTTATAATGTCATAATAAAGCACTTATAGGACTATATGCTTATAGGACTCTACTTATGAAATCTAAAGTGCAGGTACAATTACATTGCTCTCTTTCAGAAGATGTTGATTGCAGATGCTGATCTTAAGAAACATTATGAAATTTTCAAGATCTATATATCTGATAAAAATGTTTCAGCGAATAGAAAAAGTGCTGATGATTATGCTAATTTTTACAAAAACTTCATCAAAAGATGTGAGGAGTTGGAACTTATTTATAACATGAACAGAACAAATGTGTGTCTCTTGACTTCATCTTTAGCAGATCTTTGAAATATCTGTTGACAGTTTAAAGAAATTCAAGGGCAGAGTGTCCATTCTCATTTATATCAATACATCTGGATTGCACAAATTAAAGTTATTGGCAATTGAAAAATCTGAATTTCCTCAATCACTGGCAGTTATCAGACATCTTCCTGTGGTATATGAAAATCAAAAGAATACTTAGATGAATATGGATATTTTCTTTTATGATTCAAAAACATTTCCATTTGTTAGAAATTGGTTAAAACTGAAGGAAAACATGGAGTTATAGCCTAGCCAGTTATTTTATTGACTGATAACTGCCAAATTCATCCTTGTAAAGCTCAGTTGTGGAGCAGGAATATTAGAAGTATGTTTCTTCCCCTAAATATGTTGGATCAAGGAGTTATACAGAATTTTAAAAAAAAGATGTAGCTATTTACAAGCTTTTTAACCCCTTAACTGCCGCAGGCGTATATATATACACCTTGCTCAGCCGATGCGTTAACTGTCCCAGGTGTATATTTATATATATATATATGTCCTTCCAAAATACTATCATTTGCTTTGCGCTGCTACCCGTAAAATTATTTGCAGAGCTTTGGAATGCAACACCACAATGACCTTGACAAAAGTATGCGAAGGAGGATTCTATTTCAGAGAAGTGTGGGGAGAAATTGGAGAGAGGGATGTGTCTAAAGTGGTGAAAGTAATGACTGCGCGGTATTGGCTGTTGTTGTTTGAGTAAAACATATTTATTCTGTGTCCTCCGTTTTCATTTACTTTTTGTAATAGGTTCCAGGAGTAAAGAAAGATATAATGGATGTTTCAAACCCATTTATCTTTTTGAATTATTTTTTGATGAACTGCTCGTGCTTCATATTGCTACTGAAACTAAAACCTTATATTACACTTTACTGGTCTAATAATGAATTGATAGAAACTCCATTTTAGAGATCTTTTTTATTATAAAAACATTTTTATTATATTACATCTTTTTATTATACTTTTACTCAAAACATTAAATTTTGTGCATTAATTTTTCTTTTATTCTTTTTTTTTTTTTTTTTTTTTTTTTTTTTTTCGTGTGTGTGTGTGAAAGTAAACAGTTTTTAGAAAGTAAAACTTGCACTTATTTTCCCCTTTATACATCACATAACTACGCGCGCCTGTGTGAAAAACCGTGGCACTGGGAAATGAATCTTGTACGTTTTCCGCGGCAGTTAAGGGGTTCTGGAAAATCCCAAATAGAAATTCAATCTACATTTTTCAAAAAGATTTAATTTACAGGCTTGGAAATGCTTGGATTAGGTTATTTTGAAGTGGGGAAACGTGAAAAATGTACAATGCTCTTGCCAGGACTTAAACCTGAACCTCTCAAATATACGCCAAGTGTTCTACCAATACACCAGGAAAACATGCAGAAAGGAGGGAGAAAGTACTTTATATATGTCTCCTTTTAAAGGGTGACAGAGAGTTAAACCCAAATCCTGGTGGTAAGGAATCACCATCCACCGTTTTTTAGTTTGTGTACCACTGTAGTGTGTTTCAGGGTATTTTGAAGCAGGAAACAAGAAAAATGTGCATTGCCCTCGCCAGGACTCAAACCTGGACCTCTCGAATACGCATCGAGTGTGCTTCTGTTACACAATGAAAGCATGCAGAAAGGAGGGAGAAAATACCTTAAACTGTTTCTAATCAGACACTAAAAAAAGGACGACAGAAAGTTTTATTTTCAGTTAATTCTTTGATGATTTTAATGTAAAAAAACAAGATCTGATAAAAATATTATAAATAAACCTTAACAAAGAAAAATAAAGATGAATGCTAGTCCATTTCTAGTAACTAGTCTAAAACAGAGGCATAAATTGATTGTAACAAAAATTTGCCCTAAACAGAAAAGTTAACAAAAGATGATTTAATTTGAAATCCATTGTCCAAAGAAGGGTAAAATTTATCCATCAAAATATGAAGATGAAACAGTGAAGGAAAATGTGATATGTTGAAGGTTGTTGTTGTTTTAGTGTACTCTTGCAGCTGTTAGAGAAAACTCTTTATAAATTGAAGAAATTTTATAACTGCTTTTTATTAGAAAGAGATTTACTTTAAAGAAGGCTTAGAGATAGTTAGATATTCATAAATTATTCAGTTAAATGGCAACTGCATCAAAGCAGTGTTACTACATCAAAGATTTAAACATCAACAAATTAAACATTAATCAAGAAAAATGCAAAGTAAAAGTACTTCTGAGTTTTTTTAAATGAATTTAAGAGCTAATTTCTTATATTTATTTAATAAGTTTTCATAATAAGAGGCTTTACTTTTGTATATTTAAGGCATTTGAAAATAAGTTGGCTTTTATGTTTGAAATGCATTTTTTCTCCTGAAATCTTACTTAATTTTAAATTTAGATTTTTAATATTCAAGCTGACTGTAAATCCTGTGATAGATTTTATAATTTTAAACTAGAAATTTCTTCCTCAATTCATTTGGCTTTGCTACTGTAAACTACATTTTATATATTCTCAACTTTATATCTCTCATTTTCTGTGCTTTTCTTATATTTGAGCTTTACTGTATGTGTAAAATGAATAATGAAATTTAACTATTTTTTTAAAGTAGTGTAGGTTCTATGCTTAGCTTTATTTTATAAATTTTGGGTATTTGGTAGAAATAGAATGCCATTCCAAAAAAATTATGTGTAGAGTTGTAAACTACATTTTCTTGGAAATGTAATATCTAATTTGTTAAATATTAAGTACATAATAATCATTATAAATATTATTTTAAACTTCTTAAAATTAAATACTGAATTAATAGTGTTTTATGTCTTTTCATTTCTCTGTTTATATAATGAGTAATTAACAGAAAAGAGAAAAGCTTAATTAGATCTGTAATTTGGTATGAATTAGGGACAGACAGTATGTGAATTGTATTATTTTATAATTTTCTACAGAAAAAGTTAACAAGACTATTGAGGAGATTATAAGTTAACAGTTAATAAGACTAGACCATTTTAATCATTAGTATCACTAATGAAAAATTTTATTTTCATAAGATTTACTGAGAATGAGATTAGGGGGCTCTTTTATTTTAATCAAAGCTTTGTTTTTGTTTACAGAAATTATGGAGGGCTTTTTAAGATTTTCTTTTGAAATATAGTTAAATATTAAAATATTAATTTTGATTTTATTATATGCAAATCTGTATACATTTAATTCAAACTGCATAATTGATAAAAAGTTTTCTTTTTAATGCAGCTAACTTGTTACATAAGAAGTTTTCAAATTTTAGATTATATAGTTTTATTTAACTGATACCTAGTTTTTGTAAGTATTTTAGTCACATTACTATGATCCAAAAATGTTAATTTATAATTTTAGTGTGTATAATTTTTCATCAAATTGTACTTTAAACTAAATTTTTGGTGCATGGTTTTCCTTCTAAAAGTAATCTGAATTTGAAAGGAAGCGTTATGAAATTTAAATAACTGTAACAGCTTGTTGTATTTTTAAAGTGACCTGCTTAACATTATATTGCTTGTTTTGGCATTTTTCCACTTCCAGTCTAATATGTTACCTAATAAATCAGAAAAAAGAAAAAAGTCCAGGAAACGGGTAAGCAAATAAAAGAAACTTTTATAGCATGTTTCTCTCTCCCCTCCCCCTTTTTTGTTTGTTTGTTGTGCACATTTTTGAACTGTGCATGCCATATAGGATTTACACTTTTCTTGACTAAAATTCTAACTCTAAATATGAGAAAACTGAGCATTATTTATTCAATGGATATATATGGCTTAGATTTGTAATGATGTCTATGGGTCTGACTAACAATATTTACAATCATTCATCTATTATTGTGGTTTTAATGCATGAGCTAATTTATCTGTAAGCAAAACACTTGCATTATTAAAAAATTATTGCATGTAATGCAATTTATTCATAATTTTCCTGATTTCATAATTCTCCTTTATTTAATATGCTATGTTTTTAATATAACATTAAGTTGAATGTACAATTTCTTCCTTTGTAAATGAAAATTAATCTAAGTGCAATTATCTGTTTATTGAGATATTTTAATCTTTTTTACAAGTTCTTCCTTTCTTTTATCTTTCCTTTGAGGAATCGAACATTTTTATATATACAATTGTAAGGATTTTACCTAGGCTGTGAATTAAAAGCAATTTTTGATTGTTAAATTAAATGCTGTGTGTGATAAATAAAACCATACATGTCACCATAGTAAAATTTGCTGTTTTCTTTCATTTAATTCATATCAAAATATTGAGCCTTCTCCCACATACTGTTTGGATTAGGATGTATGCTAATATGTGGAACATGGTGTGTTATGGCGGGAGCGGACAATTTTTTTTTTTTTTTTTTTTTTTATCCTCACAAATTTTGTCGTTTTGTAAAATCACTATAAACTGAAAACTACTTTGAATTTTTTTGATGAAACTTATTGTCTCAATTTAGAATGTATTCTTCATCGTTATTATGAAAAATAGGCACTTTTTGTATAAATGAATATGGAATATTACAGTTAAAAGTACAAAAAAGGAAAATTTTATAATTTTCATCAATATTATTTATTACCAAAATTTTTCAATAAACAAATAACTTAATGAAGTAAATAATGAACACTAATGATGTTTTATAGTGTGATAGCACTCAAAACATTTACCTCTACGAAGAGGTACGCCACAAAATTTACACATAAAACAAGTTTCACTTTGCACTTTTTGAGATGCAGACACTCGACATGTCTTTGCGTAATTTTTTTTTCTTTCTGCTTCCAACAATTTTTTTTTTTTTTTTTTTTAGAATTTGGTTGTTTTTTTTCCCCTCCCCCCATATCCGTAAGCAATCTTCGTGGTTGATCTTGTTTAGGCGCCCTTTTCCTGAAAGTGGGTGGTCCTGGCTCTTGATTGTTATCTTCGGCTCGTACCGAATCAGTAAACCAATGCAAAGCTACTTCATATAAAAATTTCTTATATTTTACTTTGTTGCTTTTTGTTGAATTATAGACAACAAAGGAATTGAACAATGCACAATTTATCATGTACATTGTTACTCGTTTTGCCCATTTCGTTGTCTTCCATAGTATTGAATACTAAGACAAATACTGATCTGCACTGTCGACACCTTTCATAAAGTTGTTATAATCAATCAATGCATTTGGTTTAGTTATTTTTTGGCCTGTTGTTCTGTCAATATTGTGACTCTCATTTCTGAGATTTGTCTTTTTTAGACACTCCGGTAAACCTCAATTTTTTCTGATGGTTCCACATACCCCAATTTTGTTTTCGCAAAAGGACTTGAGTATCATCAACACCATTATAATAATTATCCATATACAGATGGTGGAAGACTAATGGTATATGTAGATCTGTATATGGAGATGCAACTGTCTGTATTGTCTCTATCAGCCGTGACCCCTCACCAGAATAAATTGCAAAATTACAGATGTATCCTGTATCACTCTCGCATGAATTCTCACTAGTATGCGGTATTTTATGAGTTTTCCCACATTATAAACTCTGAAAAATAACCGTCCTCTCCAATGTATAATGCCTTTATCCAAGGATACCTGCTGTTTAGGTTTGTATATGTTCACAAATTTCAGGAGAAAATAATCAATTATGGGCATGACTTTAGTAAATCGGTCTGATTAATCATTGATATTCTCATTATTGTTGTAATGCCAAGCCTTCCATATTTGCCGAAATCTATCTCTAGACATTGCTTTTGAAAAGAATGGCATTTCTGTGCAAGTATCTGTGGTCCAGTACTTTTCTATCTTTTCAAACTTGCCCTATGAAAATGATTAGTCCCAAAAATTTCTTCATTTCCAGGTATCATGATATCCTTCCATTTCACACTTTTTTTAGGTATTTTGAAATTATTTATATTGTTGTAATAATGCCTCTTCGATTCTTCTACAAAATATGTGAACATGTCATCTCCAAAAAACAAGTTCAACGCATTGGTTATGGGTTTAGGAACAGTATCAGCATTTATTCCAGGGCAACTAAAAAACTTCTCTAAGCTCAGTGACCATTCTTCTTCAGGTTCGTCAGAACTTGATTCAGACTCAGATGGAATAGTTCGACGGATAAATCTTCAAGGTCATGGAATGATGTTTTCGTCGTCACTCCTTCTCACTCTGCCTATCGATATCACTATCACACGAATAATCTCACAAATTGTCCGCACAAATTTCCTGGTCGCTTTCGTCGTCACTGTATCTCATTTTATCAATATTTAGAGTATTTTTATGTATAAAATAACTATACCACTTTCACAGGAAAAACAATTATTGAAAGAGTTTGATAACAAATTTGATTCAAGATAATTATAAAAAATGCAAAATATCACTAAAAAACTTGCAATTTTTGAAAATAATATAGATTTGCAATGTGGAAAATACCATTCTTCCTAAGGAGACGTCTAAACACCAATAACTACCCGAATTCACTAAAAATAAAACAACTCAAAATTCGTAAATTTGCAGGTATAATGTGTTGTGATGAGCTCATTTATCACTATTGTTTATGACCTTACTGTCCCATACCTAATCTATTGTGGGAATGTTTATACCTGCATAGTACTATGTATAAATAAGCGGCATAACAAACATACAGACATGTAGTAACTCATATTAGCTACGTTATCCGCATTCTACCACCAGTCCATAAAAAATTTATTAGTATGTGATCTGCCCTCTATGGGTTTTTACGTGTCCCGACTACAATGTGTTAATAATGAAATCTGCCTGCATTTTCTACCTTCTGATTTAGCCAAGCATCACTCTAAAAATTTTAATTCACTTAAGAATAAATTGAAACTACATAAATAAATATAATGCTTGCCTACTTAGTATTCTAGTGTGGAAATGAATTTCATTAATATCTCCCCTTTTTGTTGAAATTTTGCATGCTGTAGATAATGAAGCAGTTATGTTGGAAATAGTTAATTATGTATAGTTTCTCTTCCTTTATTTCTACGTTCTTCCATTTCAATTTACGTAACACCTTTGTTTGATACTCTACGTAAATTATTTTCCAACTGCAGCTTCAGGAAATTGCTATATTTCTTTGTTTACTTAATGGATGGAAAGGAAGTATTTTTCCAGTTTAGTATGTTTTCCAGTGTTTCTTTCATTTACTGCTGTGCTATCCAGATCCTCGTCCCTAAAATTTACAGTGCTTGCTTTTAGGTAATCTTCTTCATTCATTGCTGACTGTTTACCCCTTTATCTATTTCTCTAGCAGATAACGAAGCTTTTGGCAGTCCCAGCTGAGTATTATCATCACAGATACATTTTAATCAGTACTTCTTGGAATTAGAATTAAGAGCTTAACAGAATAATCTTGAAAGACTATACCCATCTAAAAAGTAATATTGATCTCAAAATCTGAAAATTAAGTAAATTTATGCCCCTCCCCCCCCCACAAAAGAATGACTATCCTCCCCCTCTAAAAAAAAGTAGCACATAACCCTTTGTGAAATTAACGAAGAAAACTGGGAGGGGTTTAAATAACATTTTGCATTCTCTGACTGCAAAACAGTTGAATTAATTTTGTTATTTCATAGTGTAGGTTAATAAAGGATTGGCTATGTTGTATGAATCATTGTGCTAATCCATACTTCCTAATTGTCATAACTCTATAATTATACAGTGTTCAGAGACCATTTTGTGTTTTAAAATAAGAATTTTCATAGTGCTTTAGTGCTGCTTTTTAAACTTTTGAGTAAAATTCCTGTTATGTAATGATTTTCCTTTTAACTTTACATTAAATTATACGTTTTGCAAAAAATCTTGTCTTAAAATATGAACATAAAACTAGAGATACTGCACATGCTTAAAATAAATTAATGAATAAATTTAAAATATGCATTCATTCATTTTTTTTTTCAGTTATTAAAAAAATTATATTTAAAGAAAATTGGGAATAATGAATACTCAGAGAAATAATGAGATTTAATTTTGTTTTGTAATAGTTTGGAAGTAGCAGTATTTGATCTTATTATTTTTCTTTTTTCATAACAGGACAGGTTAAAAAACTTGATGCAGTTGAAATGGGATTTCATTTTTAAATTCTGAAGTTCTTTGTTGTCAGGAATTGTGGCATTTGATTTTGGTTTAATTGGCGGGGAATTCTTTTTGAGATTAAAATTCTGTTTTACGTTTTGTAGTACTGAATTACTTCAACTCAACAGAAAGTAAGGTTTTGTATTTATTTTTTATAACAAATTATTTCACAGCATATTTTGTAGTACAGTTTCCCACAGTCAATTCTAAAACTTTACTTCTGATTTGAATGTATACGTTCTTGCTATTACTGTCATTCAACTATTTGAATCAAATCATCTTATTTTGCAAGGATTTAATGAATAAATCATATGCCAGTTGAGAAAGTTAAGAATAGGAATTATTTAGATGTTCTTAATTATCATGGCTAAAGAGTCATCTTTATTAAAACTAACAAATTCAAGGGCTATATTATTTTGCAGTAATGCTTCTTTAAGCTATGAAGAATTAATATAAATTTAGTTTGAGAAAGTATTTGAAAGAATTAACATTTTGGGGGGGAATATAAAGGAGAAAAATATCTTGTAAAGGTATGTAGAATCAAAAAGCTTGAATATTGTTTCTTCATAATCTGCACTTTTTATGTCCTTTTTTTTCAGGGAGCTTCTGGAAGAAAGTAAGCTTTGCTTCAAGTTACCTAATCCCTCCAAGAAAGCATTATGTTGCAGCTCAGATGGTGCTTAGTATAGATATCTTCAGTTATATGTTTCATAGCTCCTACAAACCTGCATTTACAAAAGAAATTATATATTCTAGAATTTAAACAGCGATTATGTAAGAATATGTAATTATGATCTGCCTTTTTCTGTCATTTTGATTGACTCACTTTTTATAGTCTGTGGAAAAATATATGTAGTGTATAGAGAGGTAAAATATGGGAATGTTATATTTAGTATAGCTTCTGAGAATTGGAATTTTCTTTTTTTTTAGCATGTTGAGTAAGATTTTTTTTTTTACTACTTAGTTGATGTGTTTTATTTCATTTGTTTTTGCAATTGAATTTATTGTGTATACAATATACCTTTTTAAATTAAATTTTTCTCCTTTTCATAAAACCTACTTTTGTAATTATTTTTTTAACTGCCTTTGTTGAATGATATATTTGAATAACCCTAAAAAAAATGCTAAAAACAACTAAATACCTCTCTGAAATGATTAAAGATTGTTTTAGTAATAGGTTATAAATCTGTCTTGCAACATTTTAGATGCTTTGTAACATACAAGAAATTATATATTATGTTTAACTTTTTCTGACTTCTATTTATTCTAATTTATGGCATTCTGTCTAGATATTTAACTAGGCTGACCATATATCTGCGAGACAGAAAGGGGACAGTGGGACACACAAGGTTGAGTCGTAATAAATAAAGGTGATATAAAGTGTTTTCTGCTATAAATATGTTGAACCTGTCATTTTTTGTAGCAGAATCCATATTAAAATTTAGATACATCTAAGGTAAACTGTTTTTTTAGCCATAGTTGTGTTATGAATATTACTGTGAGGAAATTTTGGTCTTTCTGAATCATTTTATAAATCTCTCACATGCTCTGTAGCTGCATTTTGTAGACTTATGTTTTCTTATACTCTGTAGCTGCAAAATTTAGCATAGTTCCATTGTTTCAGTGCTTGACGTAGATTTCTTTATCCACATACTGTTTATAATAGAAAATTTTCTTTCAACTGACATTGTGTATGTTCTGGATTTATAGAATAAATTTCATAACACTGCAAAAAATCTTGAAAATTACTATGATTTTAGCTCATTTGAGAAAAAAATCTGTATCTGTCTGTGAGGTACACGAAAGTTCCTTTATTCAGCTAGGTACAATTTTTATTCAGTTTTTACAAGGCATTTCACTACCTTAAAATTTTTATAATTCTCTAACTACTGCTGATATCACTATTAATCAAACAATCCAACTCTATTTTCATCATAATGTTAAGACACAGTTAATAATGTTAATACACAGTTACAAATTATTAAAAATAATATATAATCATCTAGTACAGTTGTTCTAAACCTTTTTGTTCTGTGCACCCCTTTTACAATTAATTATTAGAAGAAGAATCATATATAATATTATTAGATCATTCCTATGTGTTCCAAACTCAAAAAAAAGGGGGGGAATTATTTTTTAGTGTTTTTGTAAATTAAACAACAAAAAAAGTATAGAAAGTGTTGATAAATACCAAAACGTGAATAAAAACAGTTTTTATGTTCATCAGACTAAAAAAACTAAATGCTTAAATTAAAAGGGTGACTGCAATTCCACCTAAAGAATGAAATTTTTCTCTGGTTGAGAATCCTTGATCTAGTAGAAACGTGTAGCTTTTATTGGAAAAAGGGCAAAGCTGTTATTATCAAAATATAGGAATGACAAGGATAGCTTGAAAAAACTGATACTGCCTCATTTAAAATGTTACATATGGTCAGCCTTTGTTTGAATATTGTTCTTGTTCAAATGACTACTTTTCTAAAGAGTGAAAATTTAATACAGCTATTATGGAGATTTATGATGGTTATTCATCTCGTTTTATTAGGCGTCTGTGATATGTAGCACAGAAACAGCTAAATTGTATACATTTTGCTGTGTGAAAAATTATTGTATTTGTCACTGCAAAGAGTTTTGCATGTTCTAGTCACATTGGTATGCATTTATTTAGAAAAGAGGGGGACACCTTCCCTTTCCTTCCCCCGAACAAGTTTAACCTACATTGTTATTAAAGCAGAATAGTTTAATAGTGAACTGGTTTGATACAAGGAAAGCTGCTAGTGATTTTATATTTTTTGCTGCATTCATGCTTTTTCCTTTCCCTAGATATAGTATGTATACTCATCAAAATATGTAAATTTATTTGTTCCTTTTAAAAAATAATCATTGAAATTGAAACTTTTATAGATAAGTATTCTTCCATTATTGGAAACTATTCATCTGGATTGTGAATAATTACTTGTAGTCAAAAGTGAATGCATTTTTGTTTCAAGTGCCCCAGATAGTGCGTTATTGATATATGTATGTATGGTATCTGTCTGCGATTGATTGTGAAGATGATTTGGATGTCTATTTTTATATCATTTAATTATTTCAATGCAGTCAGATAATTTTATTATTCAAATAAATGTTGGATGATGCAGAATTAAGCCTTATAATGTGCCTAGTCATCACATAAATTTGAATTGCTGATTCCAGATAATTTCCTACAAAATTGAATCTGTTATTATGGGTGTTATGAAGGTAAGATTTGAGTGTTGAAGGCTGCAAAAGATATTTTGTCATTGATGACAATATCTAAAAACGATAATTATCTAGTAATATCAACTTCTGTTCCTCTTCATTTCTATTTTCTTCCTGAAACTTCTCTGCAAGAAAACATAATGTAAAAGTAGCCCTTGAAATTTAATTAATAAGAAATGTTTCTTTACTTAAAGAATGCAGTATATTTTACACCAAACATAAAAGGTAACGTTTAAGAGGTCCCCCCCCCCATTTGCATTACCGTAATATTTAATAAACATTCCTTCAGTTCTTTGAATTGTTTGATAAACTTTGCTTTTTTTTAAATTAGCACATATTGAAACTTTGAAAATTTAATCAAGTCCTTTATTTTGGGATAATAAATTCTCTGATGTATAAATGTAATGCTATTATTTATATATTATTTTCAATCAAATAAAATTCAAACATCTGGCATATGTGATAAGCTTTAAATATATGCCTTAATTTCATTATTTTGTATTTGCTTTGAAAAGCTTTCTATGAAAAACAGGTCATGTATTTCAAAACTGTTCATTGGCATTCATTTTTAAGCATTTTAAGAGGTTTGAAGATTTTTGCTTTTAATGTCCAAACATAGATGTTCATTTTATTAAAAAATGTACGTGGCTTTATTCATAATAATTTTTTGTTGTAAATATTGTGAAGTATTATAATTTACTAATAAATTTAATTATTTGTTTTAGATCAGTGGTTCTCAAATTTTTCTTTATTATTTTGCCGGAGATACCCTCAAAGTCAAATTTCTCTGGGATTATTTAAAAAAAAAAAACCTCTGTGTAGCAAAAATTTGAGATAGTTTTAATTGTTTGATAAAGCAGTTTTGTGGTAAATTTCCTGCTAGCTGTTTAAATAATCATATTGTCATTTTCTCAATATTATCCCTTAATGAAAATAATTGTAATCTGCTGATAATTTTTATTTATTTATTTATTTTGGTTAAATATTTGTTGCAAAGTTTGCTTTTTGAGAGGGAGGGGGATAATATCTTTGAAAGCAAAATGAAATAAATAAATAAAATTTAGAAAAGGAAGCTGAACAAAGTTTTTTCAGTTGACAAATTTTAATCATATTTCTGAAAATTTTCCAAATTTAATTAATTCCTGCATCTCTTTCTCAGGTCTAATGTGAATGGAAATAACATTGGGAAAGAAGTTATAGATATAAAAGCAGGCTAGTTTAAGAGTTAATGGTACAACACTGGGAGTACACTCTGAGAACCACTGTTTTAACTCGTAGGTTTCTGAGATAGTCATTTTCAATAACATAAAATTATAAATGTAATTTATTATGAAACTTGTACTGAGACACTGCTAGATTTTATTTTAACTGCAGAATTTTTAAGTATGAAATTATTTCAGTAATTTCAGTGCAAGTAGTAAATTGGTAAATAGCTTTGAATTAAATTTATATATTTATATTATTATTATCATAAGAGTTATGAATTTCATTTAAAAAGAGTCTTTAGAATTAAATATTTGTCAAAAGTATTGTCCTTTTTAAGTTTTTAAATAAAGTATTTTATACCTGACAGAATCTCATTAATTAATTGTAAGATTCACTTTTGAATACATAATTTCCATTTTACAATCTTTATTAAAATTGCTGTCTTTTTTAGCATTCAGATTAACTGTGTATGGTAAAATTTTTGAATGAGAAGTTTAATTCTGTCTTTGTGATATTTAAAAATTAAAATCTCAATGCATTGAGTTTCTTTATTATTATTAATAACTCTAAGAGGCTGTTTTTATTTTTATTCTTCATTGTATGAAAGATACTTCGTATGTATTCTGATCTATTTTCTTTGTCATAAAATTCAATGTTTTGTAGGAAAATTGGGAAGGATTAAATAAGTAATTTTTAATGCAAATTATTACTGATTTAATACAGTAATAAAAATATTTTACTCAATATAATTTTGAATGACTGTTCTAGAAAACTCATTTAGTTATCTTATGAATTAAATGCATAGTTATGTAGTCTGAGGTTTGTTTTATGTTAAAGTGATATTTTAGCTTTTATGTTCAGCTGCAAATGCAGGTTTTTTAAGTGCTTTCATTTTTGTTTCAGTGTGAAATGTTTAAATTGTTATGAATAATGTGCATGTAACTTTTCAAAATGTTTGTTATTTATTAATGTTCTTTGCAATCTAGTTTAAATGTTTAGTCAAGTTATTTTTAATATTTATGCGTGCTAAATTCTTATCCAAAAATTTAAAGTTGCTGTTTGTGTTTCATTTTGTTTTTTAAACATGTGATTAATATTTAAAGGTAAAATTCTTGATCTGCTATAATAAATCTTTACTACAGGATTTATTACGTTAGAATTAGTTTGTTTGCGTTCAGTAGAATTTTAATGAAAAATTAATTTGTACATTGTAATTCTTCTGAATGCAAACTGTGTATGCAGAGTTTATTTGTGTTTATCAGTAATGAATTATTGTGTGGATTTTTTTTCCAGTTTATTATTTTACTGTGCATTTATGTAAGCTATTATATTGAACATTGGTATCTCTATAGTAGCATGTAATTTACATAAATTAAATTTAACTTTTTCTTATATGAATACCTCATATATCATCCTATATGAATATTTTGGAAGTATAGGTAAAAAATATTTCATTCATATTTACAGTCTTTAATGAAATCCAGATTTTTGATGAGTGTATTTATAATTATTTATAGTTGCAGTGTTTGAATAATGTAGTTTCAGCTGTAACATTCCTGAACCATCAATTCTGGCAGAACTCATTGCATTGATTTAAGTAAATGATTAGAATAGCAGATCATAAAAGTTTACAAAACTGTCCTTATTTATAAAGTGAAAAGAATTTTGAAAGTAATTGCAATTTTTTTAATGTAGTGATATATATATATATATATATTTTTTAATTTGTATTATTGGGCAGCAGTGATCAAATAATAATATACATTTGCATTTTAAAATGTGTACGATCTATGTGATATTTATTTATGAAGCTTTATGTTTTTGATAATCTAAAAACTTTCCTTACTTTCTTTTTTTTTTTTTTTTTTTTTAATTTTGTTCTTAGTCCTCTGTGTATTTACCAAAACTATATGCATTTCTTATACTTAATTTTTGTTAGTTGCTTGCTGTTTTGTTTTAAATTGTATTAAATTTGTTACTCAAATACACTTTGCATTTTTTAAGGAGTTTCATTTATTGAATGATTCATTCATTTCACATTTTAATTTACGACATGGGATGGATAAACAGGATTATAAATTCTTTGTTATTTATTTGTGTATCTGGTTTAATTTAATTTTGGATACCATATGCATTGTCTGCACTTTAAACAAACTTTTCGATTCGGACAAGTTTTTATTTGGTATGGAGGCAAATCTTTATCCTTAAGAATATCCATGCCATTGGGTTTAAAATTATTTTTTAGAAACATCCATTTGTTTCGCAAGTTTAAATGATTGAGGTAATCAAGTGACTATTGTTTCCAAATACATTGAACAAATTTTGTTGTTCTTTGCGACCTTGTTAAATAATTGTCCGGTTTAACAATTATTGTTTGTTCTGCAATAAAATTTAATGGACGACCAATTAAAAAATGACCTGGGGTCTGCTGACATTAGACTGATTGGTCGGCTATTTAAGATCCCTTCTATTTGTGTTACAACTGTCAATAATTCTTCAAATGTTAATTTAGATGAACCAGTTACTCTTTGTAAGTGATATTTGAAAGATTTAACTCCTGATTTTCATAACCCACCAAAGTTTGGAGATCTGGGAGGGATGACTTTCCATTTAATACATTCAGATGTTAAATAATTCGCTAAATCTTCCTCTGATTATTCATAAGTTTGTGCAATCTCTTTAGCTCTGCATTTGCCCCAATGAAATTCTTAGCATTATCAGAGCATATACATGAACATTTTCCTCTTCTTGAGAAAAAATGTTTTAATGTTATTGTAAGAGCCTTTGATGTTAAATCAGTGATAGGCTCTAAATGGATTGCCTTGGTGGCAAAACATATGAATATTTCTACATATACCTTTTGAGAGGTTCCTTTATGTTGACCTTTATAACTTATAAGAAAAGGACCACAGAAGTCAATCCCACATTTAAAAAAGGTTAGGCTTGGATTGACTCACTCCATTGGTAAATTTCCTATTAACTGATTTGAATTGATGGGTTTGGTTTTGAAACAAATCACACAAGCATTTACAATCGTTCTAGCCAGATTTCTGCCTCCAATGGGCCAGAATTCTTATCTGACAAAATGCAAAATTGATTGTGGACCCACATGCAAGTTTTTCTTATGAAAATAATGATAATAATTTTCATAAGAAATAATGATTTCCGTGAACCTGTAGCTAGCTGGTTATAGCTTTGGGTGTTTTGAATCCCTACTCAGTTGAGAATTTTGTAATCAACCTCCAACTCGAAGAAGTTCATTTCGATCTAAAAAAGGATATAAATTTCTTACCTGACTCAGCTACCAGTCCTTGTTATGTTTTAAACAATTAATTTCATGGCTAAAAGTTGCATGTTGACCTAATTTAACTAAATGATTAAATGCACTTATTACTTCTGTTATTAACTTGCCCGCTTGTCTATTCTTTAGGACATTTGATATTATTTATAAATCTGCAAATATAACTAAAGACATGTACAAGTTTAATAAGAAGTTATTAGTAGTGTTAGAAACTAAAACAGGGTTATAATTAGTCTTTAGTTCATTACAATAGTCATTATCAGTCATGTTAATAGATGATAAAATGTTCGACTATAAAAATGAAGGAAGGGCCAGTCCACCACATAGAGTTCTTCAGAAGATTGGTCACACTGGTTCCTCCAGATATGAAGTCAACTCGATTGCTTTCTGAAGAAACATGTCTCCAACCATAGTCAGGACATAGCTCGTTGATTAATTTAACTCAGTTGGACACAAAGGGTTAAAGTCTTTCAAGAGGAGTTTTTATCCATGCCAGTGTTATCATAGAGTCCGACCACAGGTACACATGATGAAACTCAACTTGAATAATGGAGATGACCTTTGAAGTATGCCGAGCTCGTAGCAACACCGCATATAATTCCAGTTTGGGTATTGTTAAGGTTTTTATCGGAGATACTCTAGATTCGGAACATAACGGTGTAGTTTGCCACTCTCCTCGGCTATTTTTTGAGCTTATGTAGATTGCTACACCATAGGCACGTTCTGACGTATCGCTGAATCCATGTAATTCAATCATGGGATTTGTAATGATCACATGCCTAGGAACCTTTACTTGATTTAAAGCGAGAAGATGAGTTAAAAAATGTAACCATTCCTTCATATCATTGGGAGGAATTGGATCAGACCATTTTAATTTTTTTCTCCACAGACTTTCTAGAAATATCTTTGTTCTTGTAATTACTGGACCAATTAGTCTAAGAGTATTAAACAGGCTTGTTATGGAAGATAAGAACATCCCTTTTTGTCAAACTTGCTTTTGATTCTGTATTAACCTTAAAGGTTAAATTATCGGAATTACATGCCCAAAGCATGCCGAGAGTTTTCACAAGATGGGAATCTGAAGAAAAGTTATATTCAGTAGCCTTGTTGTTGTTTAGCAAGTCTGGATGGTTTGAAGCCCATTAATGTCCATTTATGTATTTGCATGCCACCCTTGTTCAATAGATTTATTAATTCAAATTGCAGAGAAATTGTGTTCTCTAAATTCTCGGAACTTGATAAAATATCATCCACGTAGACATCGGTCAGTAAAACTGTAGAAGCACATAAAAAACACCTCTGCTCCTCCTCAGCTAAAGCTTTTTTAGTTGCCAAATATGGGGCACATGTTGTACCATATATAATTGTTCTCATTCTGTAAATTTAAGCAGATGATCACGGACTTGATTTCCACAAAATTCTCTGATGTTCTCTATCAGTTTCTTTGACAAGAATTTGCCTGTACATTTTAGTAATATCTGTGCTAAATACATATGTATGAGTTCGAAAACGAGTTACTATTGAAAATAGACCTTGCTGTCCAGTTCCACCATTCAGTAATAAGGACTTGAGACTTGCTCCATTTGCGCACTTAGCTGATGCATCAAACACGACGCAAAGAGGGGTAGAATGCTGAACACTGCATGATGTGGGATGTAAATAATTTTCACTACAGTTCTCGCAGTCAGAAACCTTTTCCATATGATTTAATGCAAGATATTTATATATGAATGCCGTATATAAAACGAACATAGTTTGATTTTTGTCCAATTTGTTCCAGAGCAAATTTAGATGTCTTTCCACCCATTGATTTAGATTCTCCTAAACGAGAACATTTGCTATCCTTAATGGGTAATTTAACAATAAATCTTCTAGCGTCATCGCGCTTGTAAGTGGCAATAAAATGTTGCTCACAATATGCTCTTTCAAATGTTTGAGAATCGTCATTTGTATCATCTGGAAAGGATTCAACTTCAAAGAATTCTCTTCAGAAATATTAGACCAGTAAAATTGTAAGAAATTTTATTTTTTACAGTTCCCGTGACAAATTACACAAAAACACTGTTCTGGAACATCAAATTATTATTGTGTGATTTGAATTTTTCTGCCTTGAGTAATTAAAAAAATACCTCACAACCTATAAGTAAATTGATTTTACTTGGAATGTAAAATGTAGGGTCAGCTAATTTTTAATTTGCAAGGTATCCAAATATCAGAAATGTCGATTTTCCTCACAGGTGTTAATTCTGTCACTTTAAGTAGCACAAGAAATGATTATGTTTTTGAAAAGTTACCTTCATCCTTAGAAATTTTTAGTATTACTTTAATTTTAATAAAATTTTCTCCTCCGTTAATTCCTGAAATAGAGGAATTAGATTTTTCTTTTTTTAATCCCCGAAATATGAGCCACTCCTTGTGTACATATGCAGGGTTCGTAGGTCCTTAAATTTTTTGGAATCGATTTTTGGTTCTTAGAAGTCCATAATTTTGGCCAAAATTAGTAGAAGGTCCTTCATTTTAATCATCTGAAATTTCTGTTTGTTTTTATGAGCGCCATTTTGAGTGTGAATAGCATTTTGGAGGAATATTTTTGGCGATTCACTGACGTATATGGTTATCTTTTGAATGGGTTCATGGGTTATAATTTGTTTCTATTTTTAATATAAATGACGGGATACTCGAGTTTCTAAGCAAGAAATGAAACATAAGCATTTCGAAATTCATTTTTTGTAATAAAGAGCTCTTAAACAATTTTCGCTTTTGGGAATGTGAATTCTTTTATTAAACGGTTCTAAATTTGGTGACTTGTCAACATTTTGGCGATTTTAAGACCAGTTTGTACAGAAACTTTCTAAATCCGAAATCTGAGAATTTTTTTTTTCGATTTTTTCTTTTTAAACATCGTAACATTAATTTGATTAAAATACATTATAATTTATGATTAATTTCATGGTAAAATACATTATAATTTATAAATTTAAAATATTTCATTAAAATACATTAAAATAAAACATTTTTATTTTTCCGCTGTCATATTATAAAGTTTCATTTTGGCAACTTATTATACAATATTTTGAACCTGAAAAATAAACAAGGTATAATGCTATAAAGCACAATTTACAAAACAACTCTTAGCAAAAGCAAAATTAGCTATGTAATTAATTAAAAATATCTTCTTTTTAATTTTTTCATAGGAAGCATTTTTCCCATCAAAATTCTCAGAATATGCATCAGTTTTATCTATAAAAGTAATTTTACACTTATTACCTCTTTTTTTTTTTTTTTTTTTTTTTTTTTTTTCAAAAATATTTCTGGCTTTTGGCTGTTTCAGAACTGGTTGAGATAATTTTTCTTTAGTATTTTTGACATTCAAGTTTGGAAAATTTAGAAGGATTTGAAGTCAAGATTTATAGACCCACGATTCTAAAAATAAGTGAAAAATGTC